TATTGACTATCAAAATGGTCCTATTAATCAGCTGTGAAACTGTCTCATTCATATTTATGTCTCAATTAAAAAATATATATATATTATATGTACTCCATTGAAAGGCATGTCATGTTGGGCTGGACCCCAGTAAAGGTCATCCTAAGTTGCTTCTGATTCTTCACCATGCATAAGGTGCTGCAGTGAATAATCACAGTCCGGTTGCCCGTGTGTGCTGCTTTATCTAGAAGAGGAACTGCTGGGCAGTTAATAGATAATATCAGGTTGCTTGCCACACATGCTGCCCAGCTCACACTCCTGCCAGCAATAGTTGCAAAATCTTCCTTCTCCTAGTCACCAACAGTGTTTCCAGTTTTTGATAACTGCTGGTCCAACAGCTGAAAAAAATGGTCTCTTGGCATCATTCTGATTTATCATTCTCTTACTGTAGGTGAGTTTTAATATCTTCATATTTTTATTTTATTCATTAACATTTAGATTAATATTTTAATAAGATACTAAATATTCTCTTTGCTTAAATTATGTTAATTATTCTATTAGGTATTGGGCTGTTACTAAAGATTTCTTTATATATTAAATAAATTAAGCTATAGTATAGGATATAAGTGACAAATACTTATAATCTCATTTTTTTATTTTGGTTTGACTTTGCTTATGGTAGTTTTTGCACATAGGATTTTATTATTTTTTAATCAGTTTGATTAAATTTATTATTTATTTTTTTAATCAGACTTGAATTTTATATCATACTTACATGAACTCTAAGTTTATAAGCAGCTTAATGGTTTCATTTAGTACTTGACAGATGTCTTTTTAGATTAAAATACTTTGTCCTTTTGAAATTTATTTTTGTGTACAATATGAGATAAGGGTCCAGCTTCCCTCCCAATACCCACTCAGACAGCTCCCCACCCCTTACTGCAGGGTCCAGGGTTTAAAATGCCACCTTCACTGTGACCCCGATTCCCACATGCCTGCTTCTGCGTACTCCTTTTATCCCATTTTCCCATGCTTCAGTGCTGCCGGTTTTGGTTATCTTGGCAAATAGCACAACTCAGTATCTCATGGCGCTAGATCCCTCCTATTTCCCTTTTTCCTCTGGTTTTTCTAACACTGTTTAAGTTACTTTTCCATACACTTTTTTGGATCTGTTTTCCATATTGGAAAAGAATCTTGGTAGTATCTGCCTTGAGGCTCCATTGGGCTTAGAGATGAAGGTGGGGAGAACTGACCTTCAGCCCTGATCCCTTCTCTGAGTCCAGCACCCTGAATTCTAGTGGGGCGATGGGATGGTCCGCTCTTCACTTGGAGAGCTGCTGCGCCCTGCTCCCCCAGGTGCTCTGTCTAATCCTGAGAGCTTCAGTTATGGGGTGGAGATGCACGAAGCCTTCAAGAGGAGGGCCCTGACCCGTGACATCGCTGCTGAACAGAAAAAGGTGCAGGAAGCTGATCTAGTGATATTTCAGGTTGGTTTTTTTCTCCAGTTAATGTATCAAATCAGATGCACTCCCAGAAGTAGTATCAACATTGTTAGCACTCTCGCACTTAAACTAATTTGCGTAGCTAGTAAAGAGGGTCACACAGCCCTGATTACTCACTCACAATCCCCAGCTCCTAAGCAAAGGAATGAAGGGGTCTCTGTTCGCCCAGGGATCAGAGGACATTGGGATCACGTCTTTTGCTCCTGTTCGCAGTCCCAGTCGCTGCCATCATGTGTGCCAGGCCCTTGAGAGCCAGGGTTCTCTAGGGGGCATAGCCAGGTCACTTACGCCAAAGGCAACATCAGCCTTCAGTGCCCTGGTTTGTTTCCATCTTCTTGCTGATTGCCTCACACATGCCCACGTGTGCATGCGCACACACATGCATGCACATGCGCATGTGCCCCACCCCTTCTGTGTGTTCTTCCCCAGCTCCAGGAGTGCTGACTCCCTTCTCCCCAGCAGCGCTTGGCAGCCATGCAGCCCTGAGCCTGGCAGTCGAGTTAATGTGTGCTTTCAGGGTTCGGTGTGTTGACAGAAATGCAAGGTTAACCCAAAAGAAGGGGCACTTGTCATAGGCCCTGCTCACTGTGCGACTGGGCTCAGGGATGTGCACCCACAGCTGGAGCACCCCAGGAGCCTCGGCTCTCGCCCCATCCTGGGGACCCAGTGCCTTGGACCAGTATTGCTAAGCAAGGCATCGCAGCAACCCTGATCAACTCCCAGTTGCTAACAGCTCAGCTCAGACACAGAAGGTGCAGCTCCTTTTTATATACCCCTAACTTGTCCCCCTCAGTTGCTGCGGTCCCAAGGGCCACTGTCCTAGGCTGGGACGGTTTTCACTCTCCCTGGCTGCGCAGGACCCACATCCAGGGCTGGGCCTAGGGGATGCAGTGCCACTGGAATAGCGTCTAGGCGAGTGTCAGCTGCATCCACCCTGTCCACAGAGCACCTGAGGGCCCCCAGAGCTGGGAGGAGGAGAGGAGGGTGGCACACCTGGCTCGGAATCACCAGTGTTGTTTCTCCCCATGTGCCGCCCAGTTCCCGCTGTACTGGTTCAGCGTGCCAGCCATCATGAAGGGGTGGATGGACAGGGTGCTGTGCCAAGGCTTTGCCTTCGACGTCCCAGGATTCTATGACTCTGGCCTTCTCAAGGTGCGTGTTCCAGCACTGGGGGCGCTGTGGACAGCTGCAGGGGGTTCCAACTTCCTGCTCTAGTTTGCCTCACTCCTAAAGCAAGTTCTGACTGCTCCTGCCATGTTAGGTACAGGGATGAGTGTCATTTCTGAGCTCAGGCGCCTTCTATCTAGCGGGGAACTTGGGCACACACACAGCTAAGGGGGCTCAGGCTGGGTCAGACAAGGGATGGTGGGATGGTCAGCCTGGAGCCAGCGGGCAGGACATCTGCCCTGCATCCATCCCTGGCCTTGTCTGGGTTCGCCCTGGAGCTATGTGTACCTGCCAGGTGGAGCAAGGCAAGGGGACACCTGCCGGGTGGGGAGTCCTGTGCATGGGAGCCGCTAGATGCCCCATGTGCAGCAGTGTGAACTTCTTCCTGAAGTAATTTTGTGCTGAAATAAATGAGTTTTTGAGTTCTAAAGCCTCAGAAAAATAAATGCAGATGAAGAAAACAGCCAGAATTACCAAGGCTTGTCTTGGATGGTGATGACACTGCAACTTCTCAGTGGCCGCTGTCACCTCCTCCACCCCAGGGTCAGCTGAGGAGACCCCATCTGTGGCACCAAGCCTGCTAGAAGTCTGGGCTTGGTGGCACTTTTTAAGTGGTGGTCACCTCTGGAAGATGGGAGTGTTAACATCTGTGCAGCCTTGGAGGGATCTGACCTCAGGGTGTGCTTGTCTGGAGCCTACACTGACACGTTGGCTTTCTCCTGCGCAGAGGAAGTTAGCCCTCCTTTCCTTGACCACGGGAGGTGTAGCCAGCATGTACACGAAAGCCGGTGACAATGGAGACTTCCGGTACTTTCTGTGGCCGCTCCAGGTAAGAAGGCCGAGAGGCCCCGCCGTGCTGGCTGAGGAGCCGACAGCACGCGCCATCCTTTTCCGTGTCGTTACAGACTCAAGTAGCTTTTCCTTTAACTTTTCACATGGCAGCACAGTACTGGTCAGCCAGTGGGAAAAACATGCATTATAACTGCAGCCTTTGCTAGGTAGACCTAGGAGGGCACCAGCTGCTTTCAGGGGACTGGCATGGCACTAAGGCAGTGCTAGGTGTGTGCGTGCGTGCGTGTGTGTGTGTGCGCACGCGCAGGTGCATGTGTGTGCACCCGGGGCCTAAGGCTGGCTCCCTGCCAGAGCAGGTCTCAGCAGGCAGGGTGTCCACGTGCCACACTGGGGTGGAGATGAAAGGCAAGCTCCAGGGCAGGGACTAGAGGAGGCCCAGACCTAAGGCTAGGAGGGAGGTGAGGACAGGAGGGTGGTGTGTGGCCGCTTGTGAGCTTGCTTTATGCCTGTAGGTACCACCCATCTCCGGGTACCTGGTGCACGACCACAGCAAGCATAGCATGCTCAGAGCCTTGGGGTCAGCCCAGCACCACAGACAGAAAAGCACTGTGCCTTTCCTGTGAGCTCTGCAGGTTCACATTCCTTGCCCACCCACCTGCTGAGCTATTGGGTTTTTTTTTTAATTGATTTATCAGTACTGTGTATGCTAGTGAAATTAATCCTACTCTACTTTTCATAACAGTAACTTTTTAATCATATACATAGTATATATTTTTTCAAGGTCACTCCTTGCTTTTGTCACTGTTTTCTTTTAGTATTTATGAAGACTGTTGATTTTCAAATACTATTTTTGCACCAAAACCATTTTCTGATTTCCAGTAATAAAATCACATAGTTTGGGGAAGATCCCTGCAGAAGGTGGTTTGCGGGGCTCACCTGCTCCACCTGCCAGCATGGGGCAGGCCAGCACAGGCGTGAGCTCTAAGGACAGCCCAGGAGAGGAGGCCATAACTCACCAGCTTCCTTCCGCACAGCCTGTGGTCTGTGGCCTTTGCTTCCATTCTTGCTTTTTAAAGATCTTCCCTGTTTTTTAAGTTTGCACCGTGGTACAAGAACTTGACAAGTTATGCAATTCTGGGAAAGGCGGCCACACTCATGCTCACATAAGAAACAGGGCTGGGGTAGCGTTTGTCTCCCGATGTAGTCTGCAAACCAAACATTCTGCCAAATGCTTCTGTTTGCAAATTGTTCATAAACAAAAGCATTCATAAGCCAAGGTACCACTGTATTAAGGAAGAGGGAGACAATAGGAAAAATAAGAATAAAACATCAGCTCCCTTAATCTACTCCCTAGCAATTTAGTAACTTATTTATTTAACATAATTTGTTTTCTAATATCCTGTCCTAGTTAGTTTCTCATCCCTGGGACATAGTAGCCATCATCTACAACTTCAAAGAGGAGAGGCTTACTTTGGCTCACAGTTTGCAGAGGTTCCAGTTCATAATTGGCTGGCTCCCAGGCAGGGCAGCATGCAGTGGGGCCAGGCCGGGGAGGACAGCTCACAGCAGGGCATGAGGAAGCAGACAGCCCAAGGGAGAACACAAGCCTTCCAGGCCACGCCCCAGCAACCCGGCTTCACCTGCCCACATCACCGTTAGCCATACACTCACTCACTAGTGGCCTAACCCACCAATGAGCATCTCACCCCCGGGGCCAGTCTCCTTCCAAAAGCCCCACCTATGTGTACACGAGGCTTTGGGGGACACTGAGGTACAAACCCTAACCTGGCCCATATATATATTCCTAGACAGACACTTCTGTCAGGTTTGTTGTTTTTTTATATAAGTGGCATACCACAAACACTGCTTAAAATTTGTTTTCATTTAATAAAAACTCTGAGCAACCCCATAGTGGCAGACTATGGCTAGAGTAACCCTCCAGAGGGATAACGCAGAGTGTGGATGTGCCATAATTTGCCAGGGTCAAAACTGTTATGTTCAGTGGCAGAATCAGGGGTAACCTCCGTTTGTACATTGCAGCTACTTGAGTTCTTCCCCTCCTTAATGAAGCCCCATGCCCCAATTCTAGGGAAGTCTGCTGTTTTCACTTAACTTGTAGCCTTGAAGTTGTTCTGTGACTTCCTGAAAATTGGCTTCCTGCACTCCCCTTTAGTCATTTCGTCTAAGGATGCCTGTGGTGTGGCTTCTGACCTTTCTGTGTGGCTGTCCTTTCTGTATGGCTTTAGCACGGCACATTGCACTTCTGTGGATTTAAAGTCCTGGCCCCCCAGATCAGTTTTGCTCCTGAGTACTCATCAAAAGAAGAAAGAAAAGCAATGGTGGCCTCATGGGCACAGCGGCTGAAGAGCCTGTGGCAGGAGGAGCCCATCCAGTGCTCACCACCCTGGTACTTTGGGCAATGACACTGAGCCTGAGACCCACACATGTGCGGGAGAAGATGCTGTCATGAAACAAGGTTGCCACAGAGACAAGAGAAGAGTTCATGCTGTCTGAATGAGTCCAGCCAGGTCACATACACCAATACAGTAGCTTGTTCTCGTGGATTCTGTTGGCCAATCTTTGTGCAGCCAAGTTTTCTTTCTTTCTTTTTTACGTATTTAGTACAGTCTGCCAGGTCTACAGGGTCTCACTACGTAGACTGGACTCTTAGTGATTCTCCTGTTTTCAGCCTCCCAAGCGTACCACGCCCAGTCTCAATCACCCTCTCAGCGCACCCCAGGCATGGGGCCAGCATGACACACCAGGGATAAAACCCTGGCCATTGTGCTGTGCCTAAGCAGGTGCTTTAGTCCACTGAGCTATCTGGCTGGCCCCCAAGTTTTCTTTAGTGTTTGTCCAATATCTGTCTTACTATGTTCAATCTTCATGGCAGTTTTAATTTCTAGAGTTTTCTGGAGATGGAGCTAGATTTGTTCTTTTTCTGTTCGGTTGGTTTTTATTTCATGGCTCAACTTGGGAGTGTTTATACTTTTGTAGTAAAGTTTAATCCAATCACAGCTGTTTTAGCGCTCTTTGTACTTATTTCTTCTTTTTCTCTTTATGCTTCCATCATGACTGTGCAGCTTTCATCAAACAGCTAGTTCCCGTGTATTAACTGGTACCATCTGTTACCAGTTACAGTGAAACTCTCAGTGCCTAAGCCTGCTGGCCTCCTGTCACCATGTGCGTGGTCCTAGAACCTGACGGTTTCCTGGAGCGCAGGAGTGTGTGCAGGGAGGACGCTCCCTGAGTGCGAGTTTAAGGGTCAGCTGTGACCACCACCACCACCCTCACCCACCATCGCCGTATAATCCCTCTCGCTGTCATCACACTGCGGACAGAGTGGCCAACCGCACCCAGGGACCTTCTTCCTTAACACCCCAGCACCATCCCAGACCCCGGGCCCTCTCGCAGCTTCCTGTTAGAATGGCCCTCACCCCCCTGCGCCTGTGTCCTGTGCATCCTCGTCTCCCCTGGATCCTTCCACTCCCATTCATCTCTCCTTCAACTGCATTTCCGTCCGACGCTTCCACGTGACTGCTATCAAATGTTTCCAAACACATCTTTCTTCTGAGTCTTCAGAACTCTCTTCCAAATCTTCCCCACGAGCACACTGTCAGAGACTGTTTCTGCCCACTCTGGCTCAGGACCGGTTTTCTCTACTTTTGGCTCTGTTTAAAGGTTGTTCTCTTGTCTTTAGGTGATCTCGCCATGTCTTTTTTTTTTTTTAAGGACTTACTATGGAACTGTCTTCTGGGAGCCTCTTTTTTGAGCCCACCTCCTTTTTTTTTCAGAACCGGGAATTGAACTCAGGCCCTTGTGCTTGCCAGGAAAGCGCTTATTCTACTGAGCCATTTCCCTGTCCCTGGGCCCATCTTCTTGAATTCATTTCAGAAATATTTTCTTCAAAATCTCCCCACCTCCTGTTTTCTCCAGCATCTTTTTCATATAAATTCTTTCAGCGCTTGGATATCCATCTTACACGTGCTGAGGCACTCTGGAAATGCCACACTTTAGAAAGCCCCACCCTTCACAAAGCAGAGATGGTGCTGGGATTAGGGCAGTGCCAGTAGATCTGTGGATTAATCCAGCAATCACCCATCCTTAATCCCAGCACTGAACCAGGAATCAATCACAAACTCTAGATTCAGCCACCTCCAAAGAAGCCCTGTCTAAAAGTACCTGAAGCTTTGGGGGGACATCTAGACCCAAACCACACCAATGAACTACATGCAGTGCTCCCGGCTACGTGTTTTATGAACATGCACTGCAGATACAGTACCCCAGGAATCAGGTCATGTGTCATTTGAGCTCTTGACTCGTAATGGGAATTTCGCCAGCACACAGTCACGTTCCTCACAGGAACTTGGTGTGTGCACAAAACACACCCCAATTCCTCTTTCACCTACCTCCCTCCTCCCTGCTCCCTCTACCTCTTGGCCCTCTTCCGTTTTGCACAAGACCCATTTCCCTGTTTCCTGTCACCACAAGGATGAAAGTTAGGTGCTGATTTCTCCCAGCGTAAACTGGTAGTCTGTAAGAAGAACTTTATTATGCTCCCATTTTACAGACGGGGAAACAGTCACAGAACTGGAGTGGCTCGTCCAGCATCCCACCACGACAGCTGGGCGAGCCGGGGGCAAGGCAGGGCAGCCTGTCCCAAAGCCTGTGCTGTGGGCCGCTGGTGCTGAGGCACGCAGTGCGGGACACTGGAGCAGCAGTGGGCACAGCCACTTCTAGGAAGCGGCCCTCAAGGGCTCTGCTGGGGAATTCAGAGTAAGAACCCTAAAACCTGAGCTGCACTCCCCCAGTAAGGACTGCATGTTTTATGGGTCAGAGTCTTTTGCCAGTAGGTTAAAATCCTACCCACACTTTCTTTTTGTTCTGTGGCAAACAAGATATTTTGAAAAGCTTTGCAGCAGCAGAATTTGTAAATGCCAGATAAATCACAACAAACATACTTCTAAATGTATTACTGAGATTATAAGAAACTAAAGGAAATGTCTAAGCAACTTCCCCAAGCTCTTCACCCCACAGCAACAAAAAACAGTAGCTGCGAATAGAATAATGCCAAGTGTGGAGTCCCAGGCAGCCTCCAAAACCGGCTTAGGGGTTAAGATTGATAGCCCAAATCGTTTGATAATAACAATAAGCTTTTCTTCTGGATGGTTAACAGCCTAAGTTTGCAGACCAAATTAGAGAAAAAGGAGGGATACAAGGAAAGCCAACATTTTGGCCCTAGCCTTCTAAGGTCAATTAAGACTCAGGACATATGAGAACTTGTACTGTAACGTCATGTACCTCGGTAGTGTCCCAAATTTTCTGATCAAGGAGATTATGGGGCCAAAGAGGAAAGTGATCGATGACATAGAGTGGGCATAAGGAGAGTCACATGGGGAGAAGACACTCTCTCAGGCTTTCACAGAGAGCACATTGGCCAAGCAATGGCCGTGACTCATCCACATGGCTGACACTGACAAAGGTTCTACAATCTGAGGTACAGGATCTCAGGACAAATCCTGAGGGCATTTCACTGACCTTCTCAGACCCAAAAGCTACAACTCTTCTTGCATAGGTCTTGCTTTACCTTGGTCTTAACCATCCAGTAGAAAAGTATGAAGTCGAAATATAAGAAATAAAGCCATGCTTTTAAGTTGAGCTGTGGGGGACTCAGGTCAATAATTTCTGACATTGCCAGTTAAACAGAAGACCCAATGCTATTATGGACTACTGGACTCTTTTAGAATATTTTGCTGAGTTTACACACCTATAATATTCAATAACGGAACTTAGAAAAAATGGGGTATACCGATGAATGTCCATTTTGTATCTGTGTATTCAAAGAGGTTGGGATAGATATATAGTTGCATTCTCTTATTGAATAGAATGATTTGTTCTAATGGTGTTTGTAAATAGGATCACAAGTCCGCATCTTGTACAGCAATTAACCACTAAGAAGAATATATGCAGTGTATTATTTGTTGAAACTGTACTTCCGATTTGATTTGAAACTGTCTCATTGCTGTTTATCAATAAAACTTTGGAAAAAAAAAAAACAAAACAAAACCGGCTTAGGTACTTTTCTTATTGCCGGGACAAAACACCTGACACCCCAAGTGAAAGAAGAAAGGTTTTCTTTGGCTCAACATTCGCAGGGATTTCAGTCCTTAGCTGGTTGGCTCCAAGGCAGGGTGGCACGGCAAAGAGAATTGCAGAGGAACATGCATGACGTGGAAGAGCAGAAGGAGCAAGCCTTCCGTGACGTGGAAGAGCAGAAGGAGCCAGCCTTCCCTTCCCTTCTCATCTTTATTGGGATAGTGCTGCCATATCCAGGGTGGGCCCTCCCCTCCCATTACCCGCACCCAGAAATATGCTAAGCCAATCAAGGGACTAATGTAGTCATCATCTCTCAATCCAGAGTCACATGCCCTGGATCCAGCCACCTGTGCACACCAGCCTTTGGGGGTAACACCTAGATTCAGCTACAGCAGGGTCTAATGCTAAGACTACCCTAGGAACATGGAGGGAGACCAGACAGACTGTGGGTACGTGTTGGGTAACTGGGCTGGGACCCTGCATGAGGCTCGGCCTCCATGAAAGGTGTGTGGAAAAAGACATCTGCTGTTAGAAGGAGACAGGCAGGTAACCTATTTCCTTGTCACTCTGGATGGAAAAGCCTCCTGGACCACAGAATCTTTGATTGGACTTTATTATACCCCCATTTAGAATCTACAGAAATGAAATGACTCCAAGTGATAACAACCCTTGGTACTGGAAAAAGTAAACACAAATTCTCTCTGGAGGGAAACATCCCGTAACTGTCAGGAGCCCATCTGACTAAGACCAACTGAATACAGGCCCACATCCTGACTGAATAAGTAAAGCCACCAACATTAGCTTTAATCACCCATGGGCTTCAAATATTGGCATTATAAGCTGTGTAACCAAATAGTTGTGTATAAACTAAATACACCCATGTTTAAAATGTTCAATGACTTCAAAAATGGCAAGACAAATCTGAAAACTGAACAGAGCTTCCAGGATGGAAGTGCATACATACGGCAACTAAACACTGTGACTAGGTTAAATATTATATTAGACATAGATGAAGAGAAAATTGATGAACTGAGTAAGATTTGAACAAATGAAGTGGAAATCCAGATTAAGCAGCATAGGGAATGAAATAAAATAATGTAATCTGATTTTAATTGGAGTTCTAGACTAAGGAAATTGGTTGGTTGCCGTGTTTCAAAGCGCTAAGACTTTCTCAGCACTCGTAGTAGACACTAGTTCTCAGCCACTTGCTACAGCAGTAGTCTCAACCAGAGCAGATGAATCTACTATGCGAACAGAGCAAGGTAAAACTGGAAAGCAAAACATGGGGAAAACCACGTAGATCACAGACTAAGTGCCTGTTTAAGCAAGTACAGGGACCAGGACTGGATCCCAAGCACCACACTGCACTGACCCCACCCCGGGTGCACTGAGCTGGCCACCAAGACTGGGCATGGTGACGCAGGCCTGTAATCCCAGAGCTGGGAAGACTGAAAACAGGAGGATCAGTGAGAGTCCAAGCTGCACAGTGCGACCCTGCACCAAATACATTAAACACACACAGACACACACACACACACACACACACACACACA